CTATTAGGATATTTTCTGTTGGAATATGGTTGCTCCTTTTTGTTGTATGTTGGGGGGAAAGAGTCTCAGGCAAGCTCACTCCTCCATGACACTGACATCACCCCTTGCTTCATGTATTTTGATAGTCTGTCATTAAGTGTGTAAATGTTTATAACTGTTATATATTCTTTCTGTATTGAACCTTTGATTAATATATAATGTCCTTTGTCTCTTGTAATATTTTTGATTTAAAGTCCATTTTGTCTGAGATTAGTACAGCCATGCTTGCTCTCTTTTGATTACTATTTGCATGCAATACTTTTTTCTGTCCTTTCACTTTCAACCTGTTTCTTTCTTTGAATCTAAAGTGAATCTCTTGGAGACAGCATATGGTTGAATCATGTGTTTTTATCCATTCTCTGTCTTTTGATTGAAGAGTTGACAATTCAAGCCATTATTGATAAGGAGGAAAGTACTTATGTCATTCTGCTATTTGTTTTCTATAGGCCTTTTAGCTTTTGTGTCCCTCATTCCTGCATTATTGTCCTCTTTTGTGTTTAGTTGATTTTTTAGTGAAATGTTTAAATTCCTTTCTGATTTCATTTTGTGTATCTTCTAGACTATACTCTTTGTTGTTATCTTGAGTATTACCTGTAACATGTGAACCTTATGTTATTATTCTAATTCAAATTTATACCAACTTCAATAACACACAAAAACTCTTCTCCTTTACAGTTCTGTCCCCACCGCTTTCAGTTACTGATGTCACAAAATTACGTCTTTGTATATTGTATGCCCCAAAACATAAGCCAATAATTCTTTTAAACTCAGTTTCTTAAATTATGTAGAAAACAAGATTTAGAATTACAAATCAAAGTTACATAAATACTAGTTTTTACACTAATGTGTTTTTTTCCCTTAAATGTATTGGTCTTAAATCACATAAAAAACAAAAAGTATACTTACAAACCACTGTTATGATAATAATAACGTTCATGCTTGCCCATTTACTTACCTTTATTGAGATCTTTCTTTCTACAGCTTTGAATTACTGTGTAGCATCCTTTCATTCCATCTTGCAGGAGCCCCTTGAACATTTCTTCCAGGGAAGATTTAGGGGCCACAGACTCCCTTAGCTTTTGTTTATCTGGGAACATCTTAATTTCTCCCTCACTCTTGAGGAACAATTTTGCTACACATAGGAGTCTTGGTTGATAGCTTTTTTTGTATTAGCACTTTCAATATATCAGCCCTCTGTCTTCTGGCCTCTGACGTTTATGAAGAGAAATCTGCTGACAATCTTATTGAGGATCCCTTGTAAGAGATGAATCACTTATCTTGCTGCTTTCAAAATTCTCTCTTCACCTTTGACTTTTCAATCTTTGACTACAATGCATCTCAGTGTGAGTCTCTTTGAGTTCATCTTACTTAGAGTTTCTTGAGCTTTCTAGATGTTTATATTCATGCCTTTCATCAAATTTTGGAAGTTTTTAGCCATAATTTCTTCAAATATTCTCTCTGTGGCTATCTCTCTCTCTTCTCCTTCTAGGGCTTGATCAATGCATATACTGATCCACTTCTTGGTATCCCAGAGGTCACTTAGATGGTGTTTGCTTTTCTTCAGCCTTCTTTTCTCTGTTCCTCAGATTTAATCATTTCCGTTGTCCTATCTTCAAGTTTGCTGATTGTTTCTTCTGCTGGCTCAAATCTGCCTTTGAATCCTTTCAGTGAATTTTTTGTTTCAGTTTTCAGCTCCAGAATTTCTTTTTGGTTTCTTTTTAGGTTTTCTACTTGTTTATTGATATTTCCATTTTGTTCACACATCGTTTTCTTGGCTTTCTCCACATCTTAAGTTCTTTACAAATCTCTAAGAGAACTGTTTTAAAGTCTTTGTCTACTATGCCTGCCATTATGTCTTTTTCAGGGACAGTTTCTACAGATTTATTTTTTTCTTTTGAATGAGCCATACTTTTCTGTTTCTTTGTATGGCTTGTGATTTTTTTTTTTGTTTGATCTAGTAATGTGGTACCTCTGGAAATCAGATTCTTCCCCATGCCCACCATTTGTTGTTGTTGTTGTTATTGCTTCTGTTCATTCTGTTTGTTTTGTTGATTGTTGTAGGATGTCTCTGTGCCAAAGATCAGCCTAGGTGTAAACTTAAGGTCTTCCCAGGTCTTTTCTGAGCCATCCCCAGAGATGCACAGTAACTTTCTAATTTTCCCTGTATATGGGGTTGTTTATGAATGCCCTAGTCTTTAATGGCTGGCCCTCAAAAGAGGGAAAAGTGAAAATGCAAATGGAGCAATATGTGCACTAGCCCTGTAAATCCCATGGAAGTCACTTCAGTCAGAGGGGGTGGGGCTTCTAACAACGGTGTAGATGCAAGAACAATGGCTACCCACATCTTTGTCTGCATTTCTGTGATCAGAAGCAGTAATCAATAATCAGAGCAGAAATCCCCAATATTTGGAGGACAGGGTCCTTTTTGCCCACTCTGATTCCCCCAAGCTGTGTGGAAGCTGCTCTGGAAGATGTGCACGGCTGTCTACCATATGACTAGGGGTGAGGCTGGGTAGCTGCTACTATGCTAAGAGCTGAAATTGACCAATATTAACCACCAAATCTTTCCTTAGAAGTTGCAAGCCTTCAACAGACTTCAGAGTTATAAAACAGTTGCATGAGACAGCTTCTGCCAGGTCAGTTGTTGTCTGGGTAGAGAGATGGATTCCTGGAGCTACCTACATCCCCATCTTCCTCACACTTGCATTGTTCTTATAATCTGAGAATAAAGGCTTAAAGTTGACAAAAAGCAATAATAATAGAAATTAAAGAATGAAAGCAAGATATTACAAAGGAAGAACTGAAGTGTCTTGATCTTGGTTCACCTTCCCAGCCACCATGATTAAAGAGCACTAAATAATTTTCAATATAGGTGAAGTAATTCTTGCTAATGTCAAAGGCAATATATGAAAATATTACTGCATGGAAAACAAATCTTTAAAATGTTTCTTGATTGAAACTTTGACAATGAAGATTTGTAAGGCAGAAGGGCTGGGAGGAGGAGGGAATGGATGAAGGTGGGCAGTTTCCAAGTCTGAATGCCGGCAGCCAATGTTGCACCTGCCTCAGCCTTCCAGAAAGTTTTGGAGTGGGCTGTCCCAAAAACATTTTGATGGTTTTAGTTTCTGATTATTTTAAAGTATTTAAGTGTAGCATGGGCCCATGTTGATCTTTCAGCGTTGTTTGGTGTAAGAGGCTGGCTTGCTGCAGGGCACTCTCCTGCTCTCACTGGGCTCCTATTCAGGGGTGCTAGGGGCAGCTGCGGCCCAGGGCATAGCCCTTTCAAATAAGCAACAGGTGGAATCTGTCCCTGGAGATGTCATAACACTGGCTACTTGCAGCACACCCTGGGTTCTGGACATTGTTCTGATGTGTTCTAGAGAGTTCTGGAGGCTACCAACTCATCTTGCATGTTCTGGGAGCCCAGGAATGGTGCTGAACTCAACCCTGTGGTACAGGACATCAGGGTAGAACCAGCTCCATCTGCTTCTTCTGGTAATAAAGACTGTTGTTGGAGTCCAAGCCAGATTCCACAGTGTTCTGAGCACTTTCTGGTGAGCAATTTCCTGGGTAAAGAGTGTATAATGTCCCTGGGCATGCACACTGGATCTGATAGTTAATTCTATGTGTCAACATGGCTAGGCCATGGTACTCAGATATTTGGTGAAACATTATTCCAGACATTTCTAGGAAGGTATGGTATTTTTGGATGAGATTAACATTTAAATCAGTAGACTCTGAGTACAGCAGTTTACCCCCCCTTATGTGTGTGGGTGGGCTTCATCCAGTCAGTACCACAACTGAATACACCAGAATACTCACCTCCCTGGGGGAAGAGGGAAATCTCCCAGTGACTGTCTTGGGACTTGAACTGTAACTCTTCCCAACCTGCCAACCTACCTGGCAGATTTTGGATACATGTACACACACACACACATCCTGTATCCTGTTGGCTCTGTTTCTCTAGAGAACTGTGACTAATCCACTGAGTGTACATGAGAAGAAGCTTGCCTGGCTCCTTATGGTTTACACATCATTACAACAGTGGCTCCCCTCCACTGAAGGCCTCCCAAATACTTTGACTGTTTCATCTCTCAGTGAGAACTTGACATGGAGGTTAAGTCTCAGGATCCAAACCCAGTCAGTCTGACACCACAGTCCCAGCTCCCACTGCCTCACTGCACCATCCTATGAGGCATGAGCCAAGAACCCCCCCAGGACTCCCCCTGGGGATATGCGGGGTTCCTGGTTTTGCAAGCACTTCACTGTCTAACTTGAAGGGCAATTTTGGGCTTTCTAGGCAGCTGGGCAGGCAGGATCTTTGTACTCAGGAGTTGTCTGAACTTGTGTTAGGAAGAAAGGAAAGAGGAGTGCTCATGGCACCCATGCTCAGTCCAGCCACTGCCAGCAACTCAGCAAGCCAGTATCCCACATGGAAAAACTACAAGCCACCAAGTAGGAAAGAAGAAATGTGTTGTTACAGAGGTGTCTGCACACAGTAGGTCTTTAAGCAATGTGTACTGGCTCTGACTAGCCCATCCCTCATTACATCCACCCCCAACCTGAGCCTATTTAGTCTAAGGCTGTGACTTCATTCCTGGAGCAGTATCTGCCAGTGGGCCCCTGGTCAGAGTGGACCTCAGCAAAATGCTGTGTCCTTTCTCCCCACAGCCAGGTGCTAGGAGTGTTGTCCCCACCTTTACTCCTCAGCCCCAACAGTCCCTCTCCTTCCCTCCCCATCTCCTGCAGTGTGCATTGGATATTGGCATAGCCTGGGATGAATTTGTTGCATAAAACCACCTTCACATGGTCCTCATTCTCCCTTCTTCCCCACCAAGGACTCTTCCTATATCAGTCAGGTATCTTCCTCTATCTTGACTGATGATATCTTCCTGTGTCAGCCACTACTATATCTGTCAGACAAACAGAATCAACAGAATACATACATGTGTAGGTGTAGGTATAGGTGTAGGTATAAAGATTTATTTTAAGGAATTGGTTCACACAATTGTGGAGACTGCAAATCTGAAATTTGTAGGGCAGATAATCAGGCTGGAAACTCAGACAGGAGTTGATGCTACAATCTTGAAGCCTGTTAAAATAATTAAACAAGGAGACCATTAGGTTGAGGGGGCTCTGATGCCTTGGTAGCCTACATAATCAAACTGAAGCCTAAGCCAGAATCAATGCATTAAAATCCAAGAAAGTGAAATTTAAGAACAACCCATCAGAGTGATGCCAGCATCATGACAAAGTGAGTCCTTCCCTCTGTTTCTCCTCTCTAAGTTGCAACTAAATGGACATTAGCTAGCAGAAGATTCCCTACACAACACAACACCTGAGTGATCCATGCAGCTATACATCTGAAGGTGGGTGGACTGGATCCCCAGGGAGCAGTGGCTCTAGATGTGCAGACTCCTCCTCCTCCCCAGCGGTGGCAATCCAGGTCACAGCAGCTGGTACAACTGTGAGTTTAGGCGGAGGCAGCCTGGCCCACTCAGGAACACTTTTGGAGTGGTAGCTCAGTCTATGGGAGCACCCACCTACCCATGCAAACACTCCCCACCGAGTGGTGGCTTGGCCCCAACAACGGCACCCCAGCCACTGATTGCAGTGGCCCTGATGTGTGAGAGCAAACTCCCAAGCAACTGCAGCCAGTCTGTGCAAATGCAGAGTGGGTGGCCCAAACAGCATAACTTTCAGTGGACAGGGTAGAATCAGAAAACATGGCTACCCTTCCAGTGGTGGCAGGTTGAATCTGTGACCTGAAACTACCACAAATGGCAGAGGATCAATTCACCAAACTCCATGAAGAACTACAGTAATACTACATAACAGAAGGAAAATGACAAGTCTCCAGAAACCAAACCTGAAGTTACAGAAGATTATAATCTAAATGACAGAGAGTTCAAAATAGTTGCCATAGAGAAACTCAAGAAGTTACAGGAAAACAGAGAAAAAACAGTTCAATGAGCTTGGGAATAAAATTAAAGAACAGAAGGAATACATCACCACAGAGATTGAAGCCCTAAAAGAAAACTATACAGAAATTCTGGATATGAAGAACACAATTAATGAGATAAAAGATAATATAGAAACCATAAGAAATGGAATAGACCTTATGGAAGACAGAATCAAGGCTTAGAAGACAGAAATATAGAAATGCTTCAGGTGGAAGAGAGAGAACTAAGATTTTTTAAAAATGAAGAAATTCTTTGCAAAATATCTGAATGAATTAGGAAAAGTAACAGAAGGATTATAGGTATCCCAGAAAGAGAAGAGAGGGAGAAAGGAGTAGCGAGCTTGTTCAAAGAAATAATAGCTGAGGTCTTCCCAAACCTGGGGAAGAAACTGAACTTACAAGTTCATGAAGCCAGTAGACTTCCGAATTAAATCAGTGCAAGAAGAATTTCTCCATGGTATATAATATTAAAACTGTCAAAATTCAATGACAAAAATAAAAATATTAAGGCCAGCATGGCAGAAGAAAATAACCTACAAGGAATGCTTATCAGACTTTTAGCAGATTTCTCAGCAAAAAACTTACAGGCTAAGAGAGAATGGAATGATATGGTCAAAATACTGAAAGACAAATCTTTCAGCCAAGAATACTCTATTGAGCAAATTTATCCTTCAGATATGATGGAGCAATAAAAACTTTCTCAGATAAACAAAAGCTGAGGGAGTTCATCACCACTAGATCTGCCTTACAAGAAATGAAGAAGGGAACCCTCCTACCTGAAATAAAAAGAGAAAGGTTTACAAAGCTGTGAGTAAGGCGATAAATAGACAGACAAATCAGAAAATTGCACCTCTCTATCAGAACAGGTTAGCAAACACTTGATTATAACATAAAAGATAAAGGAAAGGAAAGCATCAAAAATAACCATAAACACTTCACTTTAGTTGCAAATTCACAACACAAAACAGAATAACCTTGACAAAAGCAACAAAGAAAGAGAAGAGGAAAGGTATGGAATCTGCTCAAGCTAATGGAGATAAAAGGCTATCAGAAAATGGACTATCTAATTTATGAGATCTTTGACACAAACCTCATGGTAACCACTAAACAAAAAATCAGAGCAGAGCCACAAATCATAAATAAAGAGAAAATGGAGAAAACCTTCAGAAAACCACCAAACTGAAAGGGCAGTCAGAAATACAAGGGAAAAGAAACAATGGAAATATAGAAAAAACAGAAAATAAGAGAAAAACTGGCAGTACTAAGACTTTACATATCAGTAATCACTTTAAATGGCAATGGATTGAATTCTCCAATCAAAAGACACAGAGTAGCTGGATGGATTAAAAGACAGGACCCAAAAACGTGCTGCCTCCAGGAAACACATTTTAGCTCTAAAGACAAACATAGGCTCACAATGAAAGGATGGAAAGTGATAATCCAAGAAAATGGCAAGCAAAAGAAAGCAGGTGTTGTCAGATAAATCAGACTTCAAGATAAAAAAGACAATGAGAGATGCCTGGCCTTTTGGCCAAGTGGTTAAGTTCACACACTCTGCTTCAGCAGTCCAGGTTTTGCCAGTTCCAATCTTGGGCATGGACCTCCACACTGCTCCTCAGGCCATCCTGTGGCAGCATCCCATATGGAAAAACTAGAATGACCTACAACTAAGATATACAACTATGTGCTGGGGCACTGGGGAGAAAAAAAAGAAGAAAAAAGGAGAAAGATTCACAAAAGATTAACATCAGGGCCAATCTTCTCATCAAAAAACTATTAAAATATTTTTTAAAAAGATAGCAAGAGACAAAGAGGGGCAGTATATAATGATAAAAGGAACACTCTACCAAAAGGACATAACACTTATGAATATATATGCACCTAACACAGGAGCTCCAAAGTGCATAAAGCAACTATTAACAGATCTAAAGGGAGAAATTGACATCAGCACACTAATAGTGGGGACCTAAATACCTTATTTATGTTAATGGATAGATCATTCAAACAGAAAGTCAAGAAGGAAACAGTGGCCTTAAATGAAACACTAAACCAGATGGACTTCACAGATATATAAAGAAATTTCCATCAAAAAAACAGCAGAATACATATTCTTCTCAAGTGCACATGGAACATTCTCAAAGATAGACCATAGGTTGGGAAACAAGGCAAGCCTCAATAAATTTCAGGTGATTGAAATGATACCAAGCATCTTTTCTGACCACAATGCTATGAAACTCAAAATCAACTACAAGAAAAAAGTTGATAAAGTCAAAAGTATGTGGAGACCAAACAATATGCTACCGAAAAACCATTGGATGAATGAAGAAATCAAAAGAGAAGTAAAAGAATCTGGAGACAATGAAAATAGAAACACAACATACCAACTCTCAGGGGATGCAGCAAACAGTACTAAGAGGGAAATTTATAGCAATACAGGCCCACCTCAACAAACAAGAATAATCTCAAATAAGTGATCTTAACTACACCTAACAGAACTAGAAAAAGAAGAACAAGCAAAGCCCACAGTCAGCAGAAGGAGGGAAACAATAAAAATTAGAGCAGAAATTAATCAAATAGAGACTCAAAAAACAACAGAAAGGATCAGTGAAACTGAGAGCCAGTTCTTTGAGAAGATAAACAAAACTGACAAACCCTTAGCCAGATTCATTAAGAAAAAAAGAGAGAAGGTTCAAATAAAATTAGAAATGACAGAGGAGAAATTACAATGGATACCACAGAAATAAAAAGGATTATAAGAGAATACTATGAAAAGCAGTATGCCAATGAATTGGATAATCTAGAAGAAATATATGAATTCTTAGACTCATAAAACCTCTGAAAACTGACTCAAGAAGAAATGGAGAACCTGAATAGACCAATCACAACCAAGGAGATTGAAGCAATAAGCAAAAACGATCCAAAAACAAAAGTCCAGGACCAGATGGCTTCTTTGTAGAATTCTACCAAACATTCAAAGAAGACTTAACACCTATTTTTCTAAAACTATTCCAAAAACTCAAAGAAGATACGACACCCTAACTCATTCTATGAGGACAATATTATCCTGATAGCAAAACCAGACTAGGACAATACAAAAAAGGAAAATTACAGATCAATACTGTTGGTGAACATGAGGCAAAAATCTTCAACAAAATATTAGCAAATCAAGGGCCAGCCTGGTGGCATAGAGGTTAAGGCTGCACGTTCGGCCTCAGCAGCCTGGGGGTCACGGGTTCAGATCCCAGGTGTAGGCATACACACTGCTCATCAAGCCATGCTGTGGCAGTGTCCCACATACAAAACAGAGGAAGATTGGCACAGATGTTAGCTCAGGGTCAATCTTCCTCTCAAAAAAAAAGAAAAATTAGCAAATCAAATACAGCAATGCATTAAAATGATAATACCCCACAATCAGGTGGGATTTATACCAGGAACACAGGGATGGTTCAACATCCACAAATCAATCAATGTGATACACCACATTAACAAAATGAGGAATAAAAACCACATTATCCCCTCGATAGATGTAGAGAAAGCGTTTGACAAGATCCAACATCCATTTATGATAAAAACTCTCAATAAAATAGGCATAGAAGGAAGGTACCTCAAAACAATAAAGAACATATGTGACAATCCCACAGCCAACACCATACTTAATCATGAAAAACGGAAAGCCATCCCTCTGAGAACAGGAACGAGACAAGGGTGCCCACTCTCTCCATTCCTATTCAACACAGCACTGGAGGTTTTGGCCAGAGCAATTAAGAGAGGAAAAGACATAAAAGGAATCCAAATAGGCAATGAAGAAGTGAAACTCTCACTGTTTGCAGATGACACTATTTTATATATAGAAAATCCTAAAGAATCCACTAGAAAACTATTAGAAATAATCAACAACTACAGCAAAGTTGCAAGGTACAAAATCAACTTACAGAAATCAGTTGCATTTCCATACACTAATAACAAACAAGCAGAAAGAGAATTCGAGAATACAGTCCCATTTACAATCACAAGAAAAAGAATAAAATATCTAGGAATAAATGTAACCAAGGAGGTGAATCAAGTTAACCAAAGACCTATACACTGAAAACTATAAGACATTATTGAAAGAAATCAAAGAAGACATAAAG